TTTTTTTTTTTTTTTTTCCAGCGTCATACTTTATCTGTAACTTAATCCTGAAACAAAGTCTCAAAGACCTTCCCATGAGATGAACCAGGTGCTGAAACAGATACTAAAAGAAACAATACCTTCTTGTGGTTRAAATCTAAATGCCCCAGACAAGCTCCTTTTAGAGCTATTACAACCCCCCTAGAAGACAGAGAACTTCACGTCATGCAGCAGAAACTTTTCTTAACAGAGATTATTTTTCTGTATTGTTCCCGTAAATGCTAAAAATTACGTGATCGGCATCGACCTTTGGTTCTGGCTTAAGATCGTGGAAGCCACTTTTTTTTTTTTTAAGACCTTTTCAAAGCAAAAGGTAATTGAATAATTTTTTAACTTTAAAAAAGATGAACACCAGGTTGACAGCTTCTGTACTTGGATGTTCATTTAATCACCATTTTCTGATCACAGGAGGTGAACTATGTTGACAGACTTGCAGATGAATATGCAGCCCAATATACGAATTGTAAGTATAAAGGACATAAAGAACTYGCAGTGAGGTTGGAGGGGAAAAATGTATACGGAGCATCCATATTACACACATCAACTGGAAGCACCTCAGCAGCTAGGGGGGATTCAGAGAGTAGCAAGTGAGGTGTTCAGAGTGCTGCAGGTGCCCGTAACTGGGAAGACACTTGCATAAATTATATACCTGTATAACCTATATGCATATAGGTAAGTTAATCATATAAATATATATGTTAATTAATCTGTTTTCCTAAAAATAGCATTTAGCCTAGTCAGTTGTATTCCAGAAGTTTAAATCCTATTGTTCAAGCTCTCCAGTTAGATAAGGTAATCAAACTGCATTCCAAAACTGACAGAGTTGCACAAGGTTGTCTAATGTGAGTTGGCATYTAACATTAAACTTACAGCCACTCCACCCTCCACGTCACTAATCAGAGGTTTGTCCTGCTGAGAGCTCTGCGCAGGCATAGACAGCATTTTGCATTCTCCCCTAGGACTCAAGGTTTGAGGCTGATTCTTAAATAGGTCCTGTCCGCACTTGGAGAATACATTTTACTACTGCTGTCAGTAAAGAAGATGTAATATCCACAGAACACTAATAATGGACTGGCCTCACTAAGGATTACCCTTATGAATACTTGGAGATCAATTCATATGCCACGGAATTAGCATGCCAGTTTAAAAACCAAACCAACATTCTGTATGAGTCAGTTGGTTTACAATAAAGGTARTGCTTGTTACCACATTAGCAAACAGTTTCAGGTCTTTCTTCACTTCTTTTTCAAGCTACTCTTGCCCCTGGCCACGCTCCTGGCAAGTAGAGAGCTTGCTAGAACTGTTCTTTGACAATCGGCTATTGTAGTAAAGCTTTCCACAGCCTACTTCTCCTTCAGACCAACACAACCTACTCTCCCGTAGCCTCTGTAAGTGATTATTTCRCTTACAGCCACCTAAACCTTCATGCTTTGGTGAGTCTAGGTAGGTGTTTCATCATGAGGCTTCACTAAAAACTAAACTGGAACACCCACAAAAGCCAAGAAGCAAAGCAAAGCCATTGGGCTTGTTTGGTTCTCAGGATCCAGTCTAGGCATCTAGAACAGATTTTATAAAAAAAMCAGTGCTTAAAACAAGTTTGTGGGTTAACCCTAATGCTGGCCACCTGGCATTTTTTAAAGAAAATAACTTTTTCTCCACCTACTCTTTTACTGTTAGTTTAAATGMAAAAACCATTTTCTTAAAATGTCTTAATATGTTTTCTAAACACAAGATGTTTTCACTGTAGAGGCAGGCTATGTGGAAATTGGTATGAGAAATCCATATTGACACTACAGAACTAGAAGGCAAATAACACTTGGGACTCTTGGAAAATTCACTTAGGGAAAAAAAGCATGTCCTAGAAATCCTTCTCCCACCCAGAAACATGCAGTTTTGAGATAAGCTTTTTTAGCATTTCAGAACTGTCACTTCAAATGCTAATTCTGTTTTTATTTTACTCTTATTTTTGTGTATATTTCTATTTCTAGTTTCTATTACTTCTTCATATTATGAACTGCTAATGCTAACATATAGTGTGCTACAACAGATTTTAAATCTCCTTTATTTYAATTTTTTTCTTTTTGTTTTAAACATCTCCCATCTGCGTGGCAATGAAATGGCTTCATATAACTCAACAAAGGAGACATTGATTTAGTAAAGTGAGGATGTATCCATCAGCACTAAGTTGCAGCTGCTCTTAATGGATTTTAAAATACAAAAGCTATTTCACCTCTTAGATTGTCATATTATGAAATGTTAGTAGTAGTTGCGCATATCAAAGCACCAGCTACCACCTAAACGTTGTGAAACGTGAAGGCAGYATCGAGCCAGCCCCCTTGCAAAGCTCCCCCTGTGCCAATTCAAAGCCTATTTCCCAAGTATACTCCTATTTTATTTATTTTTTT